TTATAATTATTAAAAAAGGTATAAATATAATAATAGCTATTATTTTTATAATAATTAATGTGAGTAATATAAAATGGTAAGCGTGACGTTAATATAATTATTATATATATAATAATTAACGTATTGAAAATTGGAAATAATTAAAAAAGGTAAGTTATAAAATTGCAAAGCGTAAGGTTTTTAATAAAATTGGAATCAATGTATTATATGCTAATAATTAACCAACGTTATTTTGAATACTGATTGGAAACGTCTGAAATTATGGTAAGAATAAGTAACTATCATTTTAACCATCGAAAGTTAATATAATTATTTTTATAATAATTAACGTGAGTAATATAAAATGGTAAGCCATCGGAAGTTAATAAAATATTATATTTATAATAATTACCATATTAAAAAAGGTAAGTTATACAAATCCAAAGCGTATGTTTTTAATATAGGTAAGTTATACAAATGCAAAGAGTAAGTTTTTGAAAATTGGAAATAATTAAAAAGGGTAAGTTATACAATTATACACCCAGTTTCGAAAAAAAATAATTATGGTAAGAATAATTACACCCAATTTCGAAAAAAGTTAACCCTTCTTATTATAATTATAATTATAATAGCCTATAGCCTATTACAATTAAATATACTATAAATATCCCCACAAATTGTACAATAATGTAGTCTATAAAGAAGTCTTTCGAATTTTGTAAAACAATGATGTTTTTAACCTTAAAATAATATAATCTCTATATTTTATTGCATCTCATTTTTATCATTGAAAAATAATTTGAATTTAATAACATAAAAATGACCCGTGCAACGCACGGGTGTGATACTAGTTACTGCAAACAACCGGAGGGTGGTGGGGGGGACTTATAATAATAACCTTAATTTCTTGCTTAAAAGATTTTGAGAAACACCCTTGGCTTATTGGAGCACCTCCAAATAGCCATTCTCTCGGCAAAATGGTTGCCTGCAGATAGAACACCACCAGCAGTGGATAGTTCCACTACAGGTAACAGATCAAGGAGAGGTGGAGCCTTCAGTCTGAATAATGGGCATCAATAATAATAATTGTCACCACCAATCCAATGACAAAATCATAGCATATATTTGATGACTGAGGGGTCTAATTCCCATGAAATACGCATGGTGTCGAACGAGGATGAAGTTTAGTGGGATGGTAGCTAGGTACATAATCAGAGATAACATAGACATCTTAAGGGCTAGAGTTCGATCTGCATAATTCGGAGATCGATGAAATAGTAGTTCGTAGGGGAACCTGGAGGCTCTGGAGCCCAGCAGGGGAGTGGGAAGAATTTTTTTTTTTTTTTAGATACGCAACCGTGTGAAAAGCATATGACTAGAAAGACAATGGGAGTCGAGACATGTTGAGTAAAGAGAGACTTGTTTCAATAATGTGACGGTGACGACATTCAACGGTACCTTTATGTTTAGGTACGTGTGTGAGGTGGAATGCCGTGTTGATTGAACATATGAATTAGTTTAATAAATAAACTCCCAACCATTATTCGGAAAAAAATGATTTAATTAGAGTAAAGAAATATTAGTAATTTTCTACATGGCGTTTGAACTAAGGGAAGATGTGATCAAATCCATCAAGAGAGCAGCGAGTGGTGCTCCAGACATCAATGTAGATTTAATCCAATGGTTTACTCTGTCATAGTATTATTGAAGGAAAAAGACAATTTCTGGCTTCAAGAAGGATAGTAGAAATGGAAGAATAGTTCAGAAAATCTGTACAACTACAAAGAATAGTTGCTAAAGCTCTGGTGTCAGGGTGACCTAATCGGTGATGTAGATCTGACACAGATTGAGAAGTGACTTACAGTGCATGAAGGAGCTAGAGGTGATCAAACAAAGGGAGTGAGAGGGAGTCTATAGAGAGCGTGCTTTTTGGTCCCCGAAGAAAAAGTATCCCCTTGATCATCATATCCTTGACAACAAAAACAATGGAAAAAATTCAACAAAAAACATTGTTAGTTTTGTACCGCTAAGAGACGAAAATAAGATAATATTGCAAGGTAAGAACACATAAGACAATACATAGAAGTGGATTAGATGAGGTTAAGAGTTGTACACAGCCAATGTAAACAAACTTCCTCGGGAGCATCATAGCCCATGAAGCAGCTCAAATTATTAGAAACATTCGTACTTCCATGATGAGATAACCAGTGTCAAATAGCCATTGCTGCTTGGCTGCACCAGAGGAAATTGAGTCATTAGGCATGCAATTATTGGCAGAAAGAAAACACTTCAACTTACGAAAAAAATAAGTGTCATGTGTAATCAGCCTGTTCTTTAAGGCTTGAACTCTTAACTTCCAATTTCTTCCAGTTCTTTCCAGTTTCTTCCTGTTTTTTTCAGTTTCTTCCAGTTCTTCCAGTTTCTTCCACTTCCTTCCAGTTTCTTCCAACTTTTCTCATTTTCTTCAAATTCTTTCTACTCCTCAACCAATTACACTAAAAATGATATATTTCAATGTGATTATTATTATTATTATTATTATTACAACTGTTATATTCATAACTATAGTTTATAAATTATTTTTTTCATCTCACTATTTTTACGATTCACACTAATTATTTTTTCTTCAACTTTTTAATATGAATAAGACACTTTTTGTATATTAGTCTACATGATAAAACAGGAAAACATCAATATGTTAAATTATACTAAAAAATTATGGATAAAATAGTTACATTGAATGTTTTATTAATATAACTTTTTATAAGACATCCTAGTTTTCCCTTTATTACTTAAAAATTGTTCATTTTTCTAATTTTTATAAAAAAAATTGTAAGTCAAAAGAGCTTAGAGAAAAAGACCAAAATATGAGTAAAACATAAAAAATGTAAACAAAAAAGTTCTATGTCTTTATTCCAAAAATAGAAATTCAATTAAAATAAAATGTCAATCATGAAAGAAACAATAGGTTTGATTATGTGACATGTATGATATTTAAAACAAAATGTTTTAATATATAAATTATAATTACAAATATATTATTTATAATAAATACTGCATAAATAAATTGAGGTGCAATATAACTACACAACCTTTTAAAAATTTAATATTTTTATATTTATGCTAACTTTATATTATAATTATTTTTCGTAAAAGTAGTTTTTTGTATTTAAAAAATAACAATACTTTTTTTATATTATATCTTAAAGACATTCACTAAGATAACGTGATGATGATGATGATTATGATGATGATGATGATGATAATGATGATAATAATAATAATAATAATAATTTATAACAACAAGAATTTAAAATAAATATTTTTAAAGTTTTTTAGGTTTTCCAATTTTTTCCAATTCCTTCATGTTTTTTCTAGTTCCTTCCAGTTTTTTCCAGTTCCTTCCAGTTCCTTCCAGTTCTTCCAGTTTCTTCCAATTTTTTCCATTTTTTTTCCAGTTCCTTTCAGTTTTTTTCAGTTTCTTCCAACATCCCGCTCTTTTTTTAGAGTACTAAAGAACATGCCCTACATAGTTACAAGTCACACTGCCCATAACAATCATATTTTTTGGAAATGCGTAATGAACATTTGTTGTTTAATTAAAGGACAAAATTGGAATCACATGCACGAAACATATAGAGTATTTTAATGATCTAAAAGTGCTATTTTGGTTTTTCTGTCTTTTTGTTAACGTACTAATACTTTAAGTCCGTGTAAATTTTTGTTAAAGCACCAACAGTTATGTCGGTGTAAACCATCAAAATGTTTGTGTATAAGAGCAACTCCAAGGGCTAGTCTATATTGTAAAATATACACGATATACAATTTGATATTGCCTTTTTAACACTCCAATGGATAGGGTAAACCAATTGGTAAAATGCAATGTAGTGTAAAAAGCAATCTCCAAAGTGTATTTTTACAAGTTCACTATAGATAGTGGAAAGAATAAAAAATTAATTTTCTCCATTTTTTTCCTTCCCTTTTCTCCATTTTCATATGTACAAGGTATTTCTTACGTCTTTTAAAAAATCATTAAAAATAAGTAACTTAAAATAAAAAAATATTATAAAAAATGTACTCGTATTATATAGAAGATATGGTTGGAGTAAGTATAAAAAAATGGAAATGTAAAACACTATTGATAGTGTAAAATGAAGTTTACACTACCAATTTTTACATTACACCTTGGATGGAGATGCTCTAAGTGGGGTGTACAAATACGTGGGTACAATTTTTGGTGTAACCCTGTTCCTACTTCTTATTCCAGAGCAAAGAGACGGGAACTAGAGCAACCAGAGGAAAGAAAACATGGCGGTGGTCATCGTCGCACACCTCGCACCTCATAGTCGACAGGGGTCTTGTTTCTTCTCCCCTTCTTACTCCTCTTCTTCTTCTTCCTCACTAGTCCATCGGATTGTTCATAGCCGATATCCTGTTCTTCATTTCCCCTACTGCAACAAATCGTTCTTCCTCAGAGACCGCAAGCACTCGAAACTCACATGTAGAGGTAACGATGAATCGTTCTTCTTAACTTCTTCTACCTGGTATTGTCCCCAGTAGCTGCTCTTCCGCTTCTGATTATTGTGATTGTATTTCAGATTCGTCCGGCTGGGACTGGAATCAATGGACTCGGCATTTCTCGGATATGGAACAAGCTGAAAACTATGCGTCTATTCTCAAGGTCAATATTAGTTTTGTTTTTGTAGTATCTTTTTTTTTTTAAATAATGATTTGTTCGGCCTGTTGAGATTGTTTTTAATTTTTATTAGTTGCTTTGTTGAGTAAACTTTAGAACTGTTCCTTTCAGACCCAATCAGACGGTTTCCATCAGCAAGTATTCTGTTCTGTATTGATAATCTGCTGATTTTTATTGGCTTTAGTCAACCCAATTTACTTTCAAGATGAAAAAAAACCTAATTGGTATAGATATGAGAGGGATTTTTAATGTTTCTCAGGAGTTACTATTCATTAATCAAACTCCATCTTTGTTGTTAACTTATTATCTTTAATATCTTATCTTTAATATCTTTTTATTATTTAATATTCCCATTATAGAGCTTTTGATGTGATTTTTAAAATGTAAAATTTATTTGGATATATTAGATTAAATAATCTAAGAATTGAGTCGAAAATATCTTTGGTGTTGCCTCGTTGCAGGAGCACCATATTTCTCAGCAAACTCAGCATCATTTCCAATATCTATATGAAATAGTGCTAACATTGGGTTATAATTCTTTATATTTACAGTAGCATCTGAATTCATTTCTTTGGGGTGAATAGTTGTTGAAAATTTAAATGCTGAAGAAGTAACTAGATAGTTTGCCATATTTTTCTAATCTTTATGTGATCAAAGTTTGAACTAGAAGATGCAGTAGAGAAACAAGACTTTCACAAAGCTGCGAAGTTGAAAAGAGCCATTGCTGAAGCAACTTCAAAGGACGCTATTGCGAAAATTATGTTGGAACTGAAGGTAGAATTTCTAGTAAAAGGGTATATGATCCTTTTGGAAAGGTTTATGAAAATGACATACCTTTCCCTTTTGGTTTATTTATTATTTAAAACAGCCTCTCTACCTTTATAGACAGAGGTAATGTTTGTGTACAATGTACAACCAGCCTCCCTAGGGCCCACTAGTAAAACTTCACCGGGTTGTTGTTGACTGCCTTTCCCTTTTGATCTAATACAGGATGCAATACTTGAAGAGCGTTACCGTGATGCTTCAAGGTTGTGTCGAAGCACGGGAAGTGGTCTGGTAATCAACTCATTTTCCTTGAAAATTGCATTCTCTATGCCATTTATTCTGTTAGTTCCATAAGTGGGGTCCATCTCCCTTGCTCTCAAAGCTATATGTTCTTTTGAATATACACCAAGTTAATGAGTAAACCAGATATGTGTTTTGATATATGAGATATCAAATTCTAAAAAAAATTTATTTGGTGAAGATAAAAAGGGATCTAATTGATATCTTCACATATGCCCCATATGTGGAAAAGTGCTGCAACTCCATATCCGCCTATTTTTGCCGATTTCAAATCGATCAGCTTTTTGGCTTTGTCCAATGGCCTTATCTTCTACTCCGTACATTATACGACTAGCAGCCCTAAAACACCTAAAATAAGTAAAATCTGCCTTATCTTCCATATATTTTTCCGCCTAATTTTTTATGTGATCTATTTTTTTATTTTTCTATTTAAAAAGATATGATCTAAAATATTTTTTTCTTCTAATTGTGATAAACTGATTTTAATAAAATAAACTTAATAAATTATTTTAATTGCAATAAATTGTACTAATAAATAAAGTAAAAATAAAAATTCCATTAACAACAACAACATTACCTTATTGCCTCAACGGCTCCCGTCCATTGCGGGGTAAGGGGGGTCAGATGTACGCAACCTAACCCCTATGTTTAAAATATAGAGCGGCTGTTTTCACATGACCCATGATGAGCGCCAAAAGTTGCATTAACTAATGGCTACTTCACAATTGCAAGAAGCGCCGATAGTTTAAAGAGCCAATTTGCTTTATTCCATCATATTCCATTAACAAGAATCAAATAATTTTAAATTCATATTTTAAATAAGTTACCATTTAGCTCATATAATACGCCTATAATAAAATATAATCCAGCACTTACATTTGATTTCCTAATTGCTCACCAAATAGCTATAATTGTGGTCTGATTTCATTTCTATATTCTCCAAACACTTTTCAATAAAATTTCAAAAATCATATCATTTCTCCCAGATTTCAAAACTCATATCTTATCATATCTCCAAAACTCAACAAACGGGCCTTAGTTTTTATTTGTTAAGGAATATGGATTTAGGATTGTGGTTTAACTTTTTCTCGTCAAATCTCTTTCACCCAAATATTTCTCCATCAAAGTTTTTAAATGGGTTTTCCATCCAAAATGTGTTTTACAAAGTAGTATTTTGAGTATCTTTTGTTGGTAATCAAATATTTGCATGTCAATAAGTTCTCTAGCTTATTTTCTATGATTGCTTTAGAGGGTAAAATCACATTGCTATATTCCATAAGCTCTTCTATTGCAGAAATCCTATATATTTGAGAGTTATTTCGTTGTGTCTTTGGTAATTTCTTTGCTTTAAAGAGATTGTAAATTTGAATTGTGATTACTTCATGTTTGGGAAGAAATCGTACTTGTGAGATCAAGTTTTCGGTGGAAAGCTTAGAGGTTTGTGAAATCAAGTTTTCGAGGTGTAGGGACTAGGGATTGTCAAACTCCGTTATGTTTAATGCCGGTGATAGTGAAATTTCAAAGACATTTGTTTGGGGAATGGATAGGCATTGTGCCGACCCAGTATATAGAGTGTGTTCTCTGGCACTTCGTATTTCCTTCTCCACTTTTCACGTATTTTGTTGTGTTGATTTGCTCATGTGAAAACGTTTCAAAAAGGGCTGAAAACCTCTATTTACCCCTATTTAGAGGTATCTGTCTTTTCTAACAATAAGTTCTATTTTTGAATTATCTTTCCTTTCACCTCTAGATAGAATTTATTAGATGCAATTCTTTTGTAGGGTGTAACAAAATTAACAGCCGTACCGTAAGGGGAAGGGAGCTGGTGGGGCTGTATTATTATTATTAATATTATTATTATTATTATTATTATTATTTTACAGAGAAGGTATTAAGGAACATTATTGAAAAATGCATCACATTTGGCAAATGTTGAAATTAGTTATTGGTTCTTCTTGGGCATGTGTGTTGAAAAAGAAAAGTAAACAGCTGTTTTGCTTTAGATATAGATTTTTTTTTTCTAATTTCAGGTTGGTTGGTGGGTTAGCTGTTCAAAGGATTCTGACGATCCATTTGGCAGATTAGTACATATAACTCCTGGGATGGGCAGATTTATTGCCAGGAGTTATACCCCAAGGTATTAACGGTAGAACAGATGTGCAGATTAATAATCTCTCTTCTCTTCTGATTACTTTCATGTCATTCCTTATATTTTAATTGACAGACTCAGGGATGGTTGATTTCAGGCAGTTGGTCAATGCTTCTCCTGGAACACCACTGTTTGAGTTGTATGTAGTTAAAGAAGCCAATGGTTCTTACAACATACAGGTGATATAAACGAAAACAACACCACTGTTTATATTTTTTCATGCTGCCTCTCATCATGCATCCATCCAGGCGGTATTCTTGAAACGAACCAAAACAGTTAAACCAAATTCATTTTCATCGAACTCAAAACCAGCAAGTTCTTCAACTGTTGAACCTGAGGATGCATCAGTCATTGATGTTAAGGTCAATGAAGATGAAATAGAAAATAGCAAGGAAAAACATGTGGGTTTTGAGGAAGCTGCTGAGGAAGGGATACAAAGTGTGATAAATTTTCTCAAAGATAGAATTCCTGATTTGAAAGCGAAAGTTACGAAGCTTAACACCACTGAAGAAGTTTTAGACGATAGTGATTCTTTGAGGCAAATAATAGAAGAAGATGGTGAAAATAGTAACGATGTAAATAATGGTATTATATCCAGAGATTTTAGTGACGAAGAATTTGGTGGAAGTTCTGAAACCAGTTATATCGAGGACAACCATCATCATCAAATTCCTGTGGGCGGAGAGAGTACTACGTCTGAAGACAAAAAGAGTCCAGATATGAAACTTTTCTTTGGTGTTTTACATGATAATGAAGATGATCCATCAAAAGATAAGTTTATTCGTGTACAGGCAGAAATTGAAGGTTTGACAAGGGATTCTTTTGAGTTTCACATTCCAAAGACATATCGAGATCTTCAAAGTGTAGAAAATTCTGTTTCTGCAGTTGGTTTGGAAGCCATTGCAGCCCTAAGTGTTTCAAAACTTATGCCTCCTGATGTGGCGAAAGCTTTTTTAAGTGTTGAGAACATTCCTCCAAAGGTTATACGTCTAATCCCTATACTTTACTTTCCGCTATGTTTGAATATATACTCTGTATTCAAGATACAATGCAAAAATAAATAAATAAATGAAGTTGTAGTGGATAATGGGGTAGATTTTGCTATTAGCTCACATGCTCTTTGTATCTTGCTTAAAGGGAAAGACAGAAATGTTAGATTATACTCCCTTAAGTCCCTTTGTTGTAAACTAAACCTCTCATTTTATATTAGCACAAGGTTTTTTAAGAATCCATAACACTTATAATGGAAAGGATGGGGTAAGGACTAAGGAGCAATGTTATTAAGGGTTTTTTCTTTTTTACTGGAATTTACTGAACTAAGCTGAACTTAATTTAATTGAACTTAGGCCGCGTTTGGTACACGGAATTCAAACTATGGAATTGGAATTGAGGACTTCAATTCCATTTTTGCTGTTTGGTAGCACAAAAATTATATAGATTTGGAATTGATAGTGCAAAAAATGAATTGGAATTGGTGAATTCAATTCTATGAAATTGAATCCCATGGAATTTCAATTCCAATTCAATTCCAATTCCATCAATTCTGTATACCAAACGGACCCTTATTGAACTGAAAGTTGTGATTTTATCAGGAAATTACTAAACTGAAAACAAGTCAAAAGGACAAACTCTAAATGAAAACTTTCATTTTATGAAAATATGAAGTTTATTTTGGTACAACTCAAATAGGAAAGTGCGAAATTTATTTCGGGATAGCGAGAAGATAAAATTATTACTAGTAAATGAATTAAACAAAGTAAAAGAAATCGGATGTAATTTTCACTCAAGCATGACCTTTTTCAGTAACGTTATGAGTTGCCTAATTTTTCTAAGCTACAACTACTGCAGATTCAAAAAAATATGAGAGAAATACTACAGCTTGTTAGTCAGGTGAAGAATCAGAATCGATTGTCTGAGTATACACAATTTACTAGGATCGCAACACCTTGCAGCGATTTAGATCCTTTTGATGGTCAGCAGCCTCACTCCTACACACACAGGCACACACAGACATGGAGAATTTATGTTTTAACCCATATGCTTATATTTATAGAAGGTTACATTTTCTTGTTTTTTTCTGTCAATATTTGATATTGAGGATTTAATTAATTTGTTTTTGGTTAGGTCTTTATGTAGGGGCATTTGGACCTTATGCTACGGAGATTGTGCAAATGAAGCGTAAATATGGTAACTGGAATGCACAAGATGAAAATAAATCATCTGATATGGAGTTCTTTGAGTATGTTGAGGCAATAAAACTTACAGGCGATATTAATGTACCTGCTGGCGAGGTTTGTGAAAAACTGTAGTTTGGGAGCCACTGTTTTATCCTGTACTAAAAGATACTAGTGAATTTTTGGCTCATCAGGTGACATTTCGTGGTAAAATTGGAAAAGGAAATGGATCTACTAACAAAGGGATGTACCCAGATGAACTAGGAGTGGTAAATACTTATTAATTCTGATTTTTCTGGTTTTCATATGCAAGACCCTCATATTTTCTCTATTTGAACAAATATACAATTTACCACAAAAAACGAGATAGTGAATGAAGGGAGAAGAAATTATTAGAACTAGCGGAGCTTCTTGCATCGCCGGAGCACCCGGCTGCATAACCGCTTGAGTTGCCCGAATATTCGTCATGTCCATCAGCGCTGGCCACACCTCAACCACTGCTGAGCTGCCTACAAAGGGTGCTGCTCCACTTGATTCACCTGGAGATGTCTGTCCATTTGCATAATCTGTGCTTGTGGCTCCATGGTGCTCCGTGGCCACCGCCTCACGATGGCGAATCCTTCCCTGCAAGTCCTGCAACTCGTCTCTTGATTGGGGAATTTGCTGATGGAAGTCACCGGAGAACGGCAAGGTAGAATATTTATAAATGGTGCATGATGGTAAACCGAGGCAGCGCATGACAGGTTGGATCGTCATTGGAAAACACGGATGTTCCCCAGAAGGTCGGTCCTAGTGGAGGAAGTGTGGAGGAATTGAAAGCTAGAGCTATTAGTCTACAATAGGGCTTTCTATCAATCAATAGTGATATCTCACTTCGATATTAGCAAGGGATTCATTTCACTATTCGTCTAACTACGTTCAACTCATTCTGAGGATTTGTTTCAAATGAGTTGACAGAGAACAGAGATTCGTTGAACATAGTTCAACTCATTTCGTTGAACATAGTTCAACTCATTTCGTTGAACATAGTTCAACTCAGAACTAGTGGTGGTAGTATCGTCACTTAGATCAGAAAATCTTAAGTTGCGCTTCTTTCTGTAAGGAGTAGCTGTAGATGTCAATGAAGAACGGGCTTTTTTATAATGTAGTTTTTTTTATTATCAAGAAACATATTCAGTTTTGAACTTCCTTATATGTTTGAGTTAGCCATTTTGCATTTATATCTCTAGGTTGCAAGCTACAAAGGCCAAGGCAGAATAGCAGGGTACGGATTCAAGAATCCCAAGTGGGTCGAGGGCGAGCTGCTTCAACTCAACGGCAAGGTAATCTACAAACCTTTTACTTCAACATTCTCATGTTCTCTGTCCTGCTATATTTTGAGTTGCCTGTGTAAACTATGACAGTTGATTAAATGTTGGATTAATTTAGGGTTTCGGGGCACACATTAAAGGTGCAGATCTTGGCTTTCTGTACGCCATTCCGGAGCACAGCTTCCTTGTGCTCTTCAGTCGTTTGAAGCTACCCGAGTAGGCTGGTTTAGTATGTCTAAAATCTCATCTTAATTCTTGCCTTAGTGCAAGTAGTGGCATGCAGTTTTGAACCCACTTCTCGCGGCTACGTTGGGAGCCATATTGGGTTGTATATGGTATATAGATTAAGATGTATTTATTAGTGAATGAGATCTTAAGCCTGCCATGTTCCCTGGTAATCTTGCCACAGTTGGAAGCATAAACTTGTGCAACGAGTGAAACCTATGTTTCTTATCACAAGGACAAACAAATAACTCCCATCATCTGCGACTTACAGGCTAGAGTATGTAATATGGCTCTGTTAAATGTATCCTTAAGGACGTATCCATACTTTATTTAAAAAGAGGGAAAGTGGTGTTTGTGTTTTCCCGCCCAAGAGTGCTAGTTATAACATATGGTAATTGTGAAGTTTAATTGGTAATTAATAAAATGCCATTAATTGTGCTATTAATGAAATACTATACGGATTGTGTGTAGACCCTATTCTACAGGGTAATTAATACATTCTCGATCAATTCTTGATTGACGGCTGTGATATTACATTGCTTCGCGCGGGCTTGTAAACATTCTAAAATTTTAATATTCTACCTTTTATTTTTATTACTCATTTGATAAAATAATAGTCATGTCATTTATATTTTTTTAAACTTTTGATGCAGTTTTAAATATAAAAGTTTTATTTTTAAATTTTACACTTAATCAAACAAATTGAATTTAAAATAACTTCGCTCAAATCTCGTAAATAGAGAAGTCAATTTTAGGACAGAGGGTGTATAATAAAATAAATCTAAAGTTTTAAAATATATATCATATAGTTAATAAATATGCTTATGTAATAGAGTCAATAGCACTCAAAAAAAGATGCATATGTGATAAATTAATGAAATTGCTTTTTAGAAGTAATAGAAATATAAATTATGGATTATAAAAAAAACCTTATTTAACATTTTTAAATTAATGAAATTAGTTTTCAAAATTTAAAATATATTACAATGATGAAAATATAATACAAAAATTATTATTAAAGTTAGAAAGTGAAAGTTTATAAACGGAAGGAAATTATAAAGTATAATAAAAATAGTGATTATTTAATATAAAAATTAATACACACACATGGCATGCCACGTGGCATGTGATACACGTGTGGCGTGACACATGTCGTTACCGCATTTAAGCCGCTCAACTTTATATATATATATATATATATATATATATATATATATATATATATATATATATATATATATATATATATATATATATATATATATATATATACACACACACACACACACACACACACACACACATATATATATGATATATGATATGATATATGATACGAATCATTAGAAATGGTAAGATTTATGTTGATTATTATTACGTTATTAAAAGTGGAAATAATCAAAAAAGCTCATAGTTAAAATGGACTATAACTATTATACATATACGCCTGGCAAGAATTAAATATCCATTAAATATATATTTATGTGATGAAATTGTTAAGTATTTAAAGATGGTAAGAAATTAAAGGGACAATTAGACTTTAGATTTTATACGATAGAGAATTGTTTTAAAATAGAAAAATCCATTTCAAAAATAAATAAGTTAAGATTTGCAAAATAATAATAAAAATAAAAAAATATTGAAGGAGAAAATAATAATAGTGTGGTGCATTATTAAGAATAAAATAAGAATTAAAAGAGAAAAATAAATAAAAATGGTAATCATTAAAAATGGTAAGAAAGGGACTTGAATTATTTCACATATTATTCTACATATACTGCCTTTAGATTTTTTTCTTTTGGGTGCTTACTGCGTTTAGGTTTAGTTCCTTCTAAAAATGTTTTATTGAATTTAATTGGGCATTGGTTTTCTCTGTTCATTGGCTTTATCGGGAGTTGTGCTTATAATTTTTACATTTGAAGTTTTGAACTTCTATTTACAGAATTACAGGGAGGGGTTCAAAGGTTTATTTTTCGGTCTTTTCGATTTGTGTCGGTTTGGTCCATAAGATTTCGGTCTGGTTCGGTCAAAGACCGACTACATTTAGGTTCGGTCTTCGGTCTTCATTTTTATTGATATCGGTCTTTGGTCCGGTCCGGTTCAATTCAGGTTTGGACCGATGAATAGCCCTAGGTCCAACTTAAGGTTAGATGCTAAAGAAGTTATCATATTTTGATAAGGACAAGGCCAGGCCAGACACAAAGGTTGTGGTGGTGCCGAGTTGTCCCCGCAGGCAGGTTGGGCCGCCAAGCAATACTGGGATTATGTTTAATATATTTCATAATAGCAATTATTGTATCTTAGATTTTTATTAGGGGAGCAGTAATTATATTGTTCCATCGAGAGTTTTTTCGAATCTTTACCTCGTTGATTTTTTTGAATTGACATGATAGAAAACTAGTTAATTAGGAATGGAGGAAACTCAACTACAAATAGGGCATTATGTAACCCTAAAATACATGATTAATACCAGATTTCTTATTTTTCCCTAAACTCACTCTAAAACCCCAAATGGTTCCTCTCCCTTATCTTTCACGCACGCCACGAGCCATCAAGCATCTCGCCGACTTCCTTCACGGCTGCGGTCCGACTCTTCTTCACGGAATCTCAGATACACCCCGTATCAACTGGTGCTTTCATCTTGATTTCATGTCTACCGCCACTGATTCTCTTACCATCACTCTCGACGATATTATGGCTACTATATCCAAGATCAAAAAGGACTTGCAAGCAATGAAGCTCCGTGTGGCGGAACTAGCGACAGCCAAACGGCCGACCATGGAGGAAGGTCGATGTCCACCGTATCAAGCACACCCGGGTCGATGCCTCCTTCGTTGGATCTCACCCCTCGCATGTGTGTGGATGCTCCACGTTTCTCCGGCGAAGACCCTACGATATGGATCTTTTGGGTGCAGAAAGATTTTGATTATTTTTTGACCACTAAACTTGAGCATTTTTAGTTGGTTGCCATGCTTATCAACGACCCTGCATCTGGATGGTTCCATTATTTGCAGGCGAACAATGGTACCACCACTTGGCCGAAATTTTTGGAAGCGGTGCAACAACGTTTTGACCCAGATTATAATGAGAATTATATCGGCATTCACATCACCTGCGCAAAGTGCTATGCACCCACGTGATCATTCCTTCTACATTAAGCTTAGTCAATGCAATTTTTTGGCAAAGATTGCATTGACTACATGGTGTTATAACTCCTTTCGAGAAAGTTTTTGAACTGTGATGTTGAGTATCCAATATCGATGTTCTCGCAGTCACTGCATTTCAATTCATTTCCTGAAAGTTTCTTAACAGCGATGTTGAGTATCCAACATCGATGTTACAGGGAGTTCCTTTTTTTCAATTGTTTCACAGAACCTTTTGGAACATCGATGTACATGGTCCTACATTGATGTTAACTTTTACAAATTTTAAAACCTTAACGTAAAACAGCGATGTAGGAGCTTGAATATTGATGTAGCAACAACGATGTTGCTCGGTGAACACCGATGTTCAAAATGCAGAATTTAAAAAATATATCCGTTTGGCAGAAACTTTAATGCTTCAGCAGCTATATTTTTGAAATCCGAATGCTTCTTTTGCTCATTTTCCTATATATTTACATCCCCACTCATCAATTTTACCCACAAACATCTCTTTGATTCATATACTTTAGGCCTACTCTTCAATTCTTCTCAAGCTCTTAATCACAATCTCTTGGAATGGCCAAAATCGGGAAATCCAAGAGCAAGTCCAAGGCCACAACGAACTTCACTGAGGCCCTCTTCAACTACCTCGATGGCTCGTTCTTGTGGTTCGAAAACGAAGAGAAACTTACCTGGTTTCTCATGTACTTTGCCAACTAGGCAGTGGCTCCCCCGAGGATCCTTCCAGAGACCTACCTGGACAAAAAAGGCTACGATACCGTGGACGCTTGATATGATAATAGAGTAGTTATATTATTTATTAATTAGTAGTTATTTAATATTTAATAGTTAATGTTGTTGAAGGTTTTAGCATGGGCTCGAGCCCATTAGGTCAAATACCGTTAGCATTAGGGATTCTCTATCTCCTATAAATAGCGATATAATCCTTTTATTCAATCAATCAATAAAGAAATATCAAAATCCTAATCTCCTCTATTCTCTTGGAGCCCGGAAACGCTCGAAGTTTCCCATCTTTCTCACCTCATCTTCTTGGAGCTTGAAGAACGCTCGAAGTTCTTCCCTATCCAATATGATATTCGTATCAATTGGTGCTCTCATTGATTTGAACACCAATCTCACCACCAAAAAAAGGTTTCATTCTTCCGATCACATCTTCCCCGTATGCAGTGTGTCGCCGCAATCCAGTTTTGAATCAAGAATCTGGCATAGACGCATCTCAATTCTCAACTGCGCCGTAGTAAATTACTTCGCCGCCGCCACTGAAAGTTCACCTTCACACCTTTGAGTTGAGTCACCACCGCCGATCGGAAAATTTAAGAAGCATTTCACAGTTCTTCCGCGTAGCTGTTACAGTTCTCTGCTGAAATATGATCCAAAGCTCGAAACTCCAAATCAAGTTTTGTTAATTAAAAAAAAGGATTTGAAGATCTGATTTGAGAAGCTCTCAAATCCAATTCAAGTTTTGAAGATTTGATTTGTGATGCAAGGCTGCAGTCTAGGAAGTTTTGGCCGTCATACTATTAGCTAGTGAACTTTTTTTGGTTTTCATCTAGCACAAAAAAAAACAGAGCAAGCATAGCAATTTTAGAAGAAATTCAATTCGCAACCAGTGTTTAGTCCTGCGCACGGTAATTCAAAGGATGAATACTTTTACTCAATCTTTGGCTAAAATGTAGCAAGATTTTTCATTTCGGATGGAGGCCCGATTCCAGCGGTTAGAGACTTTGATTATGAGTACTAGTACATTGGACAAACTTATTGCTTTGCTAGAGATGGTTCTTTATGGCGAAATTGAGCACGACGAAGGAGTCAGCATACTTTACAACTACATTGATGAAATGATAACAAATCTTCAGTCATTTCGTCCTATTGAAGCTCAGTCCCATTATGATTCTGGCTTACATGCATTTGACATTGAAATCTCGTGTGCGGTACAGGATTTGGTTCGTGGTCCCTCAATTTTGCCGATTTTGATTCATTTGGAGTTACAAAATTTCAGAACAAAAATGATGAATTCCATCCAAAACCTTATCAATGCCCCGCTTTCTCCACCCAATTTGGCTCATATGGTCACCATACCAAACACTGAGTCTCATGAAAAGGAGTCAAGGGATGATTCAAGCGTAGAATCATATGTTGGGGATAACATGGACAGTGGGCCTGAACTCATAAATGCAGAGGACGAGGGGTCCAACATCGTGGGGAAAAATAAAGAGTTTGCACTTTTAGAAGGTGTGGACTTGGTGTTAGATGAAGATTGTATCCACGCCGATAACCCAATTTCGTTGGACACCATCGCGTTGTTCGACATTGTTGGTATTGTCAAGTCTGAGCACTTGGGTTCAAAGAAAATAGTTCAATGCAAGTTTGGCCATCCATCTTCTTTCTACCGCTATACTTCATCTGCAAAGCTTCTTGAAGATTGGTCTACAACTGGACATCTTTTTTGGTTCAGCACGTTCTCACATGTCCAAAAGCTTGAGTGGGAACCTCCACCTTGAGGACAAGGTGGTTTTTAAGCGGGTGAGAATGATATGATAATAGATTAGTTATATTATTTATTAATTAGTAGTTATTTAATATTTAATAGTTAATGTTGTTGAAGGTTTTAGCATGGGCCCGAGCCCATTAGGTCAAATACCGTTAGCATTAGGGTTTCTCTATCTCCTATAAATAGAGATATAATCCTTTTATTCAATCAATCAATAAAGAAATATCAAAATCCTAATCTCCTCTATTCTCTTGGAGCCCGGAAACGCTCGAAGTTTCCCAACTTTCTCACCTTTCTTCTTGGAGCTTGAAGAATGCTCGAAGTTCTTCCCTATCCGATACGATATTCGTATCAACGCTAAGCTCCATCAGTCTGGGTTATGGCCCTTCATCTCTATGTCCCAAAAAAGCAACAAACCTGTCTTTTACTCAAACCTCCGGCGTGAAGGCCTGCTCCTTTACATCATCACCAAGATCCTCAAGCCCCGGGATAGCAGCCACACGACCATGTTTGGAGAGGATCTCAAGATCATCCACGCCATCATGCACGTGACACATATTATTTGGTCCAAGGCCATGAAGCTTTGGACTATCCACGACCAAACCTTCAAGAAGAGGTCAGAAAGTAGCGCCCTTCCAACAAGCCAAACAGGAGCCTCAGGCCGAGCCACTCTCTCCTCCATAGCCGACTCCAATCGAGATTGTGATATTGGATGTCAGAACATATTTCGTTTCGGTCCAAAGCCCAACAATACTTTATTTTAATCAAAAAAATGTGTTTAATTGAATAATAATTTAATAATACTTTTAGGGTATGTTTTGGGGCATTACATCAAGTGTATACTACACTTAATAGTCAAGAAAAAAACTCTCTTAGAGAGTAGATTATGAGTAAACTAAATATGCTCAAGAACACACCGACTTCCCGAAATGGCTCTTAAAGCGATGAAAAATATGAATGAATAATGCAATGAGAGAATAATGAATTGGTGTAGTGTGTATAAAGTAGACCCAAGAATCCCTTTTAACACTACAAAAATACGCTCCAACAGATGGGAGATGATTGGCGTTGAATGGCCTAATTTGTGGGATTTAAATAAAAAGTGGATCTACTGAAAATATGCCTAACATTCAAGTACTGAACATCGCTGTTCTTGCTCAAACTTCCCATTTGAATTGCCCAATGGTTGTCATAATATCGATGTTTAGAGAAGAACATCACTATTGGGAGTGTTGACTTTCAAAGAAGGAATGATTTTGTCTTAAATTTCTTCTCTACTACAAAAACGACCAAATAAATCCCCCAATTTGCATCGGTAAGCAAAACAAACGATGTAAATGAAAAAAAATTCGCGTACCGCTTAGATTTTGGATCGGTTATTTCTAATAACCGATTCCAAAGGTTATTTGAATCGGTTATTAGAAATAACCGATCCAAAAATTAAACAGCATTTGGATCGGTTATTTCTAATAACTGATTCAAATAACCTTTTGAATCGGTTATTAGAAATAACCAATCCAAAAGACTTGATAAAATACATCCACCTGGTTCTTATCCTTACGCGATTTTGAAAAAAAAAACCTCCAAACCCTTTCCGATCTTTGTCTTCGTCGGGCTCGTGCTCCTCGACATTGTCTTCTCACCCTTGCCATCGTCGTTGCATCGTCTTGCCTCGCCGTCGTCGTGCCACTGCCGCCTCGCCGTCGCCGTTCCCTTTCCGCCTCGTGCCTTGCTCCAGCCTCGTCGTTGCCGTGTGCCCGGTACCATTTCCGTTGCCTTACTGTCGTCAACTCCCCAGCCTCGCCGTTTCCATGCCTGTTCCGCCTCATGCCCTACTCCACTTCTCCCTCATCCACCTCACCCTCGCCATCGCCGTGGTTGCCGCCGCCTCGTGCCCTGCTGCCCCGCCTCTTCGTCGTCAACTCCCAACCTCGCCGTCGTGCTTCTTTAAGGTATTTTATTTAATTTTTTTAACATTAAATATTTAATTATACTATTATTTGTTTATACATTTTTGGATTAGGTTAATATTTAATTTACTATATATTTGAATTGGTTTTGTGTTTATGTTTAAGTTTAAATGTGACATTGTGATATAGATTGCGTTTCAAAAATAGATTGTTTAATTACTTTGTGTTTGATTCTACATGATCTGAGATGTTATAATATAGAAATAACATATATTGACCGACCTAGATACCCATTTAAAATTTACTCATTAGGAGTAAATTTTAAATAGCTCCCAGTTTGGAGCTGTCCTTGAAATGCTTCTCTCACTTAGGTAGTGAATGTATTTCTTTCTCTTTGTTCCGTCATTTTTTGGTTTGACGTTTCCTAAATGTGTTCTTCGGGTGCATATGTAATTACGTTACATCGTGCACTTGGAGAACCATTGGGAAATATTGCCGAAATTTTGATAGGTCAATGAAAATGAAATACATTTACTAGTGAAGGTGGCATTTCAAGAATGGGTTAGGATGGTGTAAAGAAGGACCATTTGTATAATGAAGAAGTGTTGATGGATTTTTGTTACATCATAAGAAATAAAATATTGTGTTGCTAGTATTTCTTATATGTTTGTGTGTATATATAAAATGAGTGTTAATAATTTTGTTGTGCATTGTTTTGCATGTATCAATCATTTGCCCTTCTTTCTTGCTTAGCAATTCATATGGATAGAAGTTGGATTCATATGTCGCGTACATCACCTGAGTTTAGTTCTGGTTTGGAAGAGTTTATTCGTTTTGCAGAGAAACATTCAAAAGAAGGAAAAAAGATATATGGTCCTTGTAACTCATGTCACAACCATTTTATGGTTGATAGCATTAAATATATAAGATTACATGTGTATCGCAAGGGTTTTGACCTAACATACCTGTGATGGAAATGACATGGAGAGTTAGAAAATCCTTGCAGCTCTAGCTATACTCATAATGAACAAGTCGAAGATGATATTCACGACATCCACAATCTTGAGGTTGAAATGGAAGATAAGTTAGGGGCCACTCAAGATATTCCTCCTGATCAAGTCGTCATTGATGAAGAGCGTAATATGTATGAGAGCTTAGTAGGAAGCTCAAAACGCCTGTTGTATCTTGGTTGTACAAAGTTTACACGTTTGAAGGGGGTTTTGGAATTGTTGAATTTAAAAGTAGCAAATGGGTGGAGTGACAAAAGTTTCACGTCTTTATTAAGTTTGTTGGGTGAACTTCTTCCAGATGGACACGAATTGCCATCATCTACTTATGAAGCAAAGAAAATGATGTCTCCAATGGGTGAGGGCTACAAGAAGATACATGCTTGTGTTAATGATTGAATTTTATCTCGAAATGAGTTCGAGGATCTCAACGAATGTCCCCAGTGTTTTGCTCCAAGATACAAGGAGTCAACCAAAATGACTCATAACAAGGACAATATGAAAAAAACCAAAAAGACTCCGGTTAAGGTTTTGTGGTACCTTCCAATAATACCAAGGTTCAAGCGTTTGTTTGCTTCGATAAAAGACGCTAAGAATCTAGTGTGGCACATAGAGCAGCGAAAAGATAATGGCACCCTGCGTCATCCTGCCGATGCCCCCCAGTGGAAGACGATTGACTACACATTTCCGGAGTTTGGGAAAGAGGGGAGAAACCTTCTATTGGGATTGTGTACTGACGGGATCAATCCTTTTGGAAGCTTGAGTACGCAACATAGTACTTGGCCGGTACTGCTTGTCATTTACAATCTTCCTCCAGAGTTGTGCATGAAGCGCAAGTACATCATGCTATCGTTGTTAATACCTGGGCCTAAACAACCAGGTAATGACATTGATGTATTCTTAGCCCCAATGATTGATGACTTGAAGGAAATGTGGATTCATGGCGTCACAGTATTTGATGCTTATCGTCAGGAGTGTTTCACGTTACGTGCTATGATTCTTTGGACAATCAATGACTACCCTGAATTGGCGCCATTTCTGGGAAGGGCTTTTTCATTGGCTCTAACAACCGATGCAAAAAGTAACCTGAGTATTTGCATCATTGGCTTTTGCATCGGTTCAAAACCGATTTAAAAGGGTCAAAATAACCGATTTAAAAAGTCTTTTTGTAGTAGTGCTTCCAACGATCAGGAGCCAACATCAATGTTCAAGAGTGAACATCGATGTTCTAGACTCTACTTCTAAAGGAAGATTTTGAGCTAACATCGATTTAGTTGGGCCTACATTGGTGTTAGAAAAATTTCTACCAAACTCAGGTTTCTTAGCTTAAGACTCAACATCAATGTAGCTTCACCTACATCGCTGTTACAACAGCTACTGAAATTCTTCAAGGATGGCATAACAGTGATGTTCAACTTCCAACATCACTGTTGAGAAACCTTCCACCAAAGTGAGTTTCCTAGGCTTCGCCATAACATCGGTGTTGGGCACTTCAACATTTCTGTTAGGATGGTTCGCTAGAACCATGGTTTAGCCAACCAATGTCAAAAACCAAAGTCAAAAATAAAAGTTTTCCAAATTAAAAACCAAGTGTTGGAAACACTTATTTGATGTATTTCATAAATAAATCAAGTATAAAATCCTAAAAACCATGTCATTTAGGTGAAAACCACGGGTAGCCAAGTACAAAAACCAAAGGTGGTTTTTCAAAAGTACAATAACCAAAGGTGGTTTTTCAAAAGTTTTTGAGCAAAGTACAAAAACGAAAGGTGGTTTTTCAAAAGTTTTTGTTGGAAAACCATTTAAATATTCCCTGAAGTAAAAACCAATGATAATATGTTGAAAACGACTTGGTTTTTTTGGTTGCCAAAAACGAACGCCGATAAGCAGCGCCGAATGTCGATAACGAACACCAAAAATTGAAGGTTGTGGTTTTTGAGAACTAAACATTTGGAAAGCCTTTAAATGTTCCTAGAGGCAAAAAACAATAATAAAATCTTAATAATCATTTGGTGTAAATGAATGGAAACAACCAATGCCAAAAAAAATGCCGAACACCGAACATAGTGATTTTGGTTTGGGCGGCAACCAAGTGTTTTTAGCATATAAAAACATTTATGAAAAATGTTTTAATGAGGCATGAAAATGATTTGAAAGTTTTCAAGAGCCAAGACTTAAAACCTAATGTTGGTCTTGATCACAATAAGACCAACTCAGTCCTAAGTCTAAGTCTTCATCTTGGTCTTTGTTCTTGGTGCCATTACGTCTTATGCCAATATTTGTTCCTCGCCTTGAGATGTTCAACGAGGCTTCTTCATATCCTTGGTAGTTTGGAACTTATAAAAACATGTCAAAATCAAACATCACTTTGGAAAAATGTTATCTTAAAGTGTTTTGTAACAATTTCTCCCTTTTTGATAATGCCAAACAAGACAGGGATATGCATAAAAAGGTTTTGAATTGGTTAAACAAAGATTCCCCTTTAGTTTATGCAAAAGTTCGAATTTAGAAAACGTCACCCCTTGATATATGCATAGCCCTTATCTTCCTTCTTTTGACATTAATAAAAAGATTTATAATTCATAAAGATTTTTATTCATCAATGAGAAATGCGATGTACACTACGAAAGCATAAATAAATAAAAAAACACAAGGGACATAAAAAAAGAGAGAGAAGAGAGAAAAAGATTCTAGAAATTCAAGGCCTAGTCCTCATCCTCTTCCTTGTCGTCCTCCACGTCCACCAGGTCGCCATCAACTTCCTCCTCAAGCTCATCGTCATCCGGTGAGCTTGGGGGGACATAAGACTCATCGTTGTCAAATCCGACATAGACTTGGCCGAGGAAGTTGGACTGGTATAGCGGTGGCATATAATTGACACAGTCAGAGTAGGCTTGCATCGCTAGCCTTGGCGTTGAACCGTCGTGTCAATCCTCTCGATGGTGCTGCCCATCCCATCAGCCGTGAGGCTCAAATGCCGAATGGAGTCGGCTATGAAGGAGAGAGTGGCTCGGGTCGGGGTAGCTAATTGGCTTGAGGTAGAGGCACCGCTTTCCGACCTCTCCTTGAAGGTTTTGTAGTGGATAGTCCAAAGCTTTGTGGCTTTGGTGAGAGGGCCAGTGGAGACGGTGACTTTGGCTCGACGTAAATCTCCATCACCAAGAAAGTGTCGGGCATGATCCGATTGTGGGTGATGGTGTGGCTATGTCAGTCATATGGATCATCACGAACTAGGCCCAATTTACCGGTGCCACGTGCATAATAGAGTGTATGATCTTGAGATCCTCGCCAAACATGGTCGTGCGGCTGCCATCCCAGGGCTTGAGGATCTGAGTGATGATGTAAAGGAGCAGGTGGTTCTTCAGAAAGGCCGAGTGGATGGTGGGACGACCCATGGCAAGCCGGATTAGTTCGCTGATGCCAAGTTCCTTGATGACCAACCCTTCATTGTTCATAACCAAATCCTCTCCCCCATAGTTGAAGATGTCCTCGCCTTGAAAATGCAGCCAGGCAATACAGCCAAGTATCTCTGTTGGAATGCATGAGTTCAACCCTTTTTATATTTTTAAGGGTTGACTCACACGTTTTGATAATTGACAAACATAAGTTATTCAAGTCATGAATAAAGTGCTATATGGACAAACACAAAGACTTGAAGTGCCAAATTCCTTGAAGTATTCAAGGAGCACAGGATTTATTAATGACAGAGACGCCTAACGGAGCGCCTAACGAAAGTGAATAAGAAGATTTTTGAATACTTTCTAATTTATTTGAGTCTTAGAAAATATGATAAGGATGACACAAATATTTTTCACTCCAAAATTATTTTTATGAGAGTTATATAAAAATTATACATATTTTAGAGTTATTTAAAAAATCCTTTTTAAGTGTTCAAAAATGCTTTTATTGAGTCAATTACAAAATGTGTGTCAAACATTTATCAAAATACTTATTTTGATATTAGAGAATATTTTTAGTAAGCAAAAATATTTTATTCAATATTTGTAGACATCGTTTGACACGCAAATTATTTTTTCAGACTCAGTTTTTCACCCCAA